TACCACCACTATGTTTAATCTGAGAGAGGGCTCAGTGTGATGGTGGGGCCTCTGATATTAGATGATAGGACAGTAATAACCCATGAGTGGAATATAGCAGTACGATTTAAGGAATACTTCAAAAGCGTACATTAGGTGGACAAAATCGATGTTGCACAACCTGACCTCCACACCTCTGAACCTCCCTGAATTACAGGTGGGGTTGAAACAAGTGCGTAGGACTCTTGCTGAGTTTAACGCCACCAAATCCGCTGGCCCTGATGGCTTCCAACCAGCCCTAGTTAAACAGCTCAGGTTCTTGGTGGCCCACTCTACCACCTACACAACAAAATTTTAGAGCAAGGCAGGATATCACAGGATTGGAAAACTGCAACTATGGCCGTCATACACAAAGGGGGACCAAGACAAAAGGTGGAGAATTATCGTCCAGTAAGTCTCACCAGCATCTTCCATAGAGCAAATCATCCGAACCCACTTAAGCAAGTACCTCACTCAGCACCGCCTACTGATTGAGGCACAGCATGGGTTCCTAAAGGGAAAATCCTGTCTCAGAAACCTGTTGTACATTTTAAATGAAGTCAAAACAAAACCGGATGAGAGAGTAAGGAAGCAGATGTTTGCTATCTGAATTCTAGCAAAGCATTTGACTCAGTGTCATCACTTACCTTTGGTTAAAATTGATGCTGTGGGGTTAAGGGGTAACATTCACATGTGGTTGACAACTTTCCTGATTGCTTGGACCTTCTAGGTTCGGGTCGGAGAAGCAAACTCGCCAATGGAAACTATTGCTAGTGGAATGCCACAAGGGTCAGTCCTAGGTTCATTTCGATTCTTGCTGTACATTAATGATCTTCCTGAACGCCTTGGCTCACCTAGCTTTATATTTACGGATAACTTCAAGGTTTCAGGATCAAATGGGAGAGCGGTATTACGGATGGACATAGGAGAAGTGATCAAGTACATGGGATTTCCCTCTCAACATAGGAAAAAGCCATGTCTTGATCACTGGGGAATAGGGGCTGATAGTAAAGAGTGGTCATAGAGGTCTTTCAATACCATGCCTAACCTATCGGGGCCTTATGTGGTTCGCCACTCCAAGTTCCGGGGCTTAGATTGCCGATTTCAACCACTGAACAGCAGTTCCTCGTGACTATGGGGTGTACTCCGTCTGCTGTTCATCACCCCTAAGTGTGTAATAAAAAACTTTTTCGATCACATATATATACAAGCTTTGGCTCCCTTCTTCAAAAAGGCCGCCGCTTTGCCTCGAGGTTGTCCAAAGATTAGCCACCGGGATGATTGCAGGACGAGGCAAGCCGTAGAGTCAGAGACTGCAGGATCTCGGACTCCTCTTCTTGGAAAGAAGAAGACTCCGTGATGACTTGATAGAGACATTCAAAATTATGAATGCCCTATCTGGGATGGATCAGGCAGTGTTCTTCGAAAGATGCGAAGCAATACTAAGGGGCACATGTATAAGCTGAAGAAACTGCGCACGAGACCAGCGGTGCGTTCGAACTTCTTCAGTAACAGGGTAGTCAACTCAAGGAATAAGTTACATGCTTATTTCCCGAACTAAACGCGGAGGGTTATGTCTGGAATCAGTGTTAGGTTCTTTTGGTTACTCACCACCCCAGCTGGGGAATACTTCCAAATGTGAGGTCTCTCATCTGAATAAGGATGGGAGATTTTTTTCTTCTTCCTGTTCCATTACAGAGGCAGAAATTACTGGAACGAGCGGAAAACATGAAGAACTACGATATAGGACACTCGCAGTGGTAGGAACCAACACGTGGCTTATTACCGAAGGAACTCGGGACGCTCGATTAGCCGTGGCCATCTCCTGTGCTGTGCAACCTGACCTGACATACACCAGACCTGAGCCGTTTTTGGGTGACAAATTTTGCATTCATTGTGGAATACCGATTAGATCTCTTGGAACATCTGTGAATATGTGACTGTGTTGAGCACAATGTGCTCAGGCTAATACGGGACATCCCACTGCACTTAACACTTGAGGACTGGAAGATCTTCTAAGCAGTACTGCGTACATCTGCCACTATATATATGCTACTAAACGTATGTCGTAACAAATGCATTCATCATAGAATGACTCACTGCTTTTGAACGTGTTGGGTAAACCAATGGTGAGGTGTTTGTGAAGGACATTCCCTAAACAGGAAAAGAATTATTTTAGGAAATGTGACATTCAACCAAACTTACAATCAATCCTTGTTTAGCTGCCATAATGCTGTACCATCCGGCAATACCATAATGGTTAGAACCTTGTATACAAATATTTTACATCAATAATACTAATTGCAATTACCATATGCTGCGACCCACGCTATACCAGTTTCCTTCGCCTTTTTGATAGCGGTCTTCATCGCAAAATTGCCAACCACGGGACCAAGAAGGTTATTTCCATTCACGAGAGCAGTAGAGACAGTTTCTTTTTCAATCACGGGCGTTGCCTTCGTGTCACAAACCTTCTTTTGAACGTCTCGCACGTACATTTCTGCGGACATTAGTGTTGTGAAATGAGAACTATACCGAGCCTATTTATTCCATGACTATAGTGCCCACGATAGTCTCCAGCAACTAGCACTTCACCAAGTTCTCGACTTTGTTCATGGGACACGCCAACCTTTTCCACACAGCTAGCACAGAACTTTATCATATCCTCTTTGCGTACGACTTGCGTATACTCATCAGGCGTGACACAACTCATACTGGAGACCTGGCGAAATGCAGCGTACAAAAAATTTGATCGACGTAAGCAAAGCATGGCTTTTGTATTGGTTTGAAAATCTGCAGATAAACAAAGTTTAGAACGACCTTGAACGACCTTCAATCCGATGCAATCCAATTTTTTTCAGGTCAGGTTGCACAGGACTGATAGTGGCCACAGGCCAATCACGCGTTCGAAATTCCTTCGGTGGTATGCCCTCGAGTGTGCGTTCTCCTCTGCGATTGATCAGTTTCTCCTTCTATCTTCAAACAGAGAGAAAGAGTGACTTTACTTCTCGCCGTGTGGGGGAGAGACCTTTGTTGTTGAAGCATTCCACATTACGCAAAAGCAATTTACGCACCTAACATTTTAAGTCAGGAAAAAGCTCCAACTATCTGGCGTCCAGAGCTTTTCTAAAGGCCTGGACACTTGACTGCATAATCAGTTCCGACGGTAGCTTATTCCAATTACCCACTACCCTATCAATAAAGAAATGTGCTCGTAAGTTCAGCCTAGAACGCTATTTCATAAGTTTGAGCTCATGTCCACGCGTTTCTTGGTGAGGAGCCTCAGTGAAGAAGGACCGAGGACCTAGACCGAACAAATTTTTCTTAACCTTAAATACTTTGATGAGGTCTCCGCGCAATCTCCTTTTTCTAGTGAAAAAAGACCGAGCGTGTGCAACCTCTCTTTGTATGTTTTCCCCCGCATACCCTCAACCATCTGTGTTG